GCACAAATGATTGTGGGGTCCTCAGGCTCAGCAGATATGTCTGCATTATAACTCCTACACATAAAGGAACATCATGGAAAAGAGGATATCAAGTTGTACATGCTAAGTACATGCTTAGTTGGGGCTTAGCAAGTCAGAATCACTTATTCTATGCATTTTATACAGTCGCTGATCTCTGCAATAAATTTTGATGTGTTGCAAAAGGACATATATTTGTTACCAGAGACGAGCTAAACTTAGCTTTGAGTAAAAGGATATCTATTCAGAAAGCTGGTAGATGCTATTTTGATTTAGGAAAATAGTACTAGTAGCTTCTTGTCTTGTGTCTATGACTTCTCCAGCTATGGCCAGTTGGCTTGGTCTACAGAAACAGATATTAATTTTCTCCTATCAAGTGGTCCTTAAGTTTAATTACACAGTTGTTGGTTCCCCAAAGATTTACATGCCATTATTGCACCACCGAAGATATATTGCTGGGCTGGTTCTTATTTCGGTTCATAGATTTACCAGCCGCGCAGAACATCGATTACCTTTCTCACCTGGCAGCCTATCTGGCACCTTCTGATGCAATAGGACCTGCTCAGGAAAGAGGCCTGAAGATCTGTACAATCTCAATTTTCCAAATTCTATGACCAAATAGTGCAGTGACCTCAGCAATATTGTCTTGTCATCAGGTTCCAGAAGGAAACCAAGGACAATAGCAATGGCTTATACTGTTTTGAAAATCTTTTGAACTTTCTTTTCTCTGCCTGATCAACATCTGGAAGGGTGGGTTCCCTTGCCCAGCACTGAGACATGTGTTCAGTAATCTATGACTTATAGAGGAAGTATCTTCAGTATGTGTAGCACAACTTTACCTAAACTACATACATTTTTAAGTGGAGGTATTTCTTTGAGTTGTTTTGATTTGTTTTGTGTTTATGAGTGTGTGTGTGTGAGAGTGTATGTGTGCGAGTGTGTGTGTATATGTATATTTTCAGGTAAGCTTTTGAAGCTATGATCCCTATTATTTTATCCTAACTTTAAGTTTATCTGGAATGCATTCTAAAGATGCATTATTCTTTAAAAGTTTTAAGGTTAATTTGATAAAGTTTTGGCTTCCTATGAGCTTTCAGTTTCCTTCCTTAAACTTACTTATATTTTAAGCCAACTCATGAAGACATACTGCTTTTATAATAAACAACGTTTTTAAAGTGTATGATTTTTGTGCATTGTGACATGAAATCAATACCAAAAGCAAGATAAGGAATATATTCAGTAGCTCCCAAGCCTCCTTATCACCCTTGGCACCTGTCAGTCTCTTACTGTCAGCCCTTTTCCTCCCCAGACAATGATGTGGTTTTCTTTGTTTATTTTCTGTGAAATTTGCGCTGTTTGCACTAATGGGATCTTGTGTTATTTTCGTCAGCATTTTTCACGCAACATGGTTCTTCAGCAATAAATTTATGTTCTCATCCTGATCAATATTCCAGTTTTTGCTTAATGCTTTTCTATGATGTAGATTTAGATGAATTTATCAACCTTTAACCTACTCGCATTTTTATTTTAAAATAAATACTTTTATACATTTTTCTCTCAATAAAATTAATAAAGAATAATGAATAAGAAAAATCAATAAAACAGAAACTATAAGCAAATAAAAATGTATAAATTAAAGTACTATTACATTAAATAACAAGAATAGGTTACATTAAAATTACACACTGTGATGTTTGCTGTGTATATATGTAATTCTACATTTATCACAACCATAGTCTTTAATGCTTCTATTATCAACATTTTTGACCTATGAATCCCATATTTTCTAACTGATCCATGTAGTCCCATTTTTCCTTCCCAGATACCATAGTAAGCATCAATGTACTCCCATCCCCGAGTTCCTACAACCTAGGTGTGCTCTTTCAGCCTCTCCTCCTCCCTTCATTACTGCTGCCACTCCACTGACTTTACCAGGCTGCTGTCTCCCACCAGCATCTGCCATGGTGTTGACTAATCCATGGTTAGCATAGATGCAAGGGGAATAATAGCTAAAGATGATGCATTACAGACCCAAATCTAAATTATCTGGATATATATTGTCTTATATAAAAGTATTTTTATAATACCCATTTAGAGAAGAAAGTTCCTTACAGTTGCCCAAGGATCACATCTGAGCAACACTTTGTTTTCGAGGATGAGGTGACAGGTGACAAGGCTCAGCATCTAGTTCTCAACTGTGTCTTCTGTGCAGTGAGTCATAAGAATAACACATCACTTTCATTCCCTTAGATAAAGTGAATAGTGATCATAACATTTTATAGAGGAAAATAATTGTTAAAAGGTTAATGTTTTCCCGGAGCAGATACAGGCAGCTACATCTTTGTTTAGATTTGTGGTCATTGTTCTTCACCATGGCTGGCTGTCAAACATAACTGCTCTTCCCCAAGACTGGCACCAAACAGAACTGGACTTGTCTTCTCTACATTCAATTATTTCATAAATAGTCCAATAAACATAAAACGGAGAAAAGAATATGATTTGGGAAGTTTTAATCCCAAATCCCTTTAAGTCTATGACTCCCTCATTCACAGTACTCATTTTCCTGTGTTGATCATTAAACAATTTATCAGCTTAATATGCTCTCTTCTTCATATTTAAGGATCAAACAAGTAAGTAATGTAATCATTCAGTCACACACATCTCTATAAAATATTACATAAAATTCAAACTAAATTAGAAAGTTATAAAAATCAACAAAATGGACTATAATTATGTAAGACTCAGTTAAATTACCTTCTCTGTCATTAATTCAGAACAATGTTTCAATTTTTAAGCATTTATTTCAGTGATATATAACAAGATAAACATTGTACATAAGCTGAGCTAAACTTATTTATGTTGGTAAAATTCATAATCCATTCATAATGAAAACATCCAAAGCCCTAACTTTTTACAAAGAATATATGTAATTTTAAGTAAATGCTCCTATGAGGGTGCCACATTTCATTTAGCTGTTTTAAACTACAATTGTCACCTTTGCCCTCCACCATACTGACTACCCACAGAAGAAATCCAACCATGCACACTGAAAAGTTCTCTGTGCCTTGCTTCTGGTTCCCTATTGGCAATTGTACCTTGTCACTTAGTGCTTACATCTTCTGAGTCTAATACTTCCTACAGAAATCATTGTTCAAACTAATTTCAAAAAGTCCCAAATTAAGTTTATTTATGTCATTTCTCATTACAGAAAAAGAAATATATTTAAAATTATGACTTTACAAAACAGAATTTAAAACCTATAAATAGAAATTTTTCTCTTATCTCAGAGGTATCCAATACGTATGTGTGGGATTAGATTAAGGGTTGGCACTGTACTTCTCTCAAAATTGCATGTTGAGGGACAGACTGTCCTCTTGTTATATATACTGATGCTATGGAATGATCTAGGGTTTAGATACACTATCTATTCCATATCTGTACCATCTACTATAAATTTACCCTATAACCATACAATAGTAAATACGAATGTTTTCTTTATTGCTTTTAGTTATAATTTTGCATTATTGAATACAAAATATGAGTCTTATTGTGAAAATTTGAAGTGTTTAAACATTTTGTTATTGTAGACGTTTAAATGAGTAATATGTTGAGAGTATTATTTTATAGTTATCCAGTCTCACAAGTTTGGAGAATAGAGATAATATAGTTTGATCTACTGTTAAATATGCTACATTATATTACATATGTATCTAGAGCAACTTAGATATTTACTAGACGTTGATTAATTCTCCTTTAAAAAACTCCTTCCAAATGGACACGTCTTACTATGTTCTCCTAATGTCTAACTGTTAAGGTAAAAACATATGAAGGACAGAAATTTGGAGTTATCTTCATAACAAATAATAAATCTGCATTAGAAAAGGACAACTGTGAAACCAACTGCAGGTAGAATGTTTTGAGAAAAAAACTTAATCCCAAATTGATATTCAATGGCAAATTAAAAGGAGGTACAAGAAAATATAAGCATCATTATGATCTACTTTTCAAAGTTGCAATAATTTAACTGAGTATAAATATTTAGTATGAACCAAACATCTCAAAATAAGCCTGAGAATTAACACAGAGAACAGAATTCATGCAGAATTAAAAACATGATGTGCCACAAGGTCAGTATTCCCGAAAGGGCCCTGTAGACTCAGGCTTTATGACTTTGTTTAACACTGTTGACATTTAATGTACAAGAAATAGTGTAAGACGTATCATTAAAAATAAGATAATATAATCTTTGCTGTCAAATACCTAAACCTGAATATAATTAGGCCATATAAAGTATTTTGAATGAAAAAATTTATTTTTAATTTGAAGATATACTATTTAAAATCTGATATGAATTCAAACTATTACAAAGAGGTCGATGGGTTTTCTTAGTTTATGTGATATGAGCTGAGCTATTACTCATTGTAACTGCAAACACACATTTGAGGGTGTATCTATGGACTATCTAAGGGTGTTATTTGTCCCTATAAGTGCTCAGATCAGTCTTGAAGTATCAGCATTAATCTCCATTGTTAAGGTATTATGACTAAAATTTAGAATAACAAATCTAGATCACCAATACTTAGATTTGATTAAAAGTAAACCATGAAAAATGAAATGTAGCCATTGCATGGCTCCCCTTCCAACATAAGATGTTAGTTTTACATTGGTAAGTGTTTAATTTGAGCATGTCTTCTTTTGAAATGATTTTTGTGGTCTGTTTCATTTCATAATGACTTCTAGCTGCATGCATGTCTCTACAACTGACTTTAAAGTCATCCACTACAAGAAGCTAAAGTATGCAGCGCACCCAGCTTGCTCCTTGTACATAGATGATGAAAAGAGAAAGAGAAGACTGGCCATGCTCCAAACAGTGTCTAGCTTATAGTGAAAGCTGCAATTAAAACTAATTGATTAAATTAGGGTCATATTCTTGTAGACATTTATTGGGGTCATATTACTGTCAGTCTTTAATCAACTTTTACCTGGGGGTTGAAGATTCTGTTCCTCTAAAAATTCTAAATCAAGCATCAGATCATCTTCATCCAGTTCACAGGATCCCAAATGATTTAGAACATCCTGAAAGAAAAGTAAACCTGATAAGTGACAGAAAGCACAGAGGAGATAAGAGAATAAGAATGTAAGAATAAGAGAATAGTCACCTAGAGTAGCCATGAAACAAAACACTCAACAAATCAGAAATTGACTTCCGTGACTTCTGAATCTACCAGTCCTATGAAATGCTTTTGGAATTTTCTAATATGTCTAACTTTTCCTAGTACTTACTTCTCTTAGTTATTCATACCTGCTACAACTAATAACATATAATTTTCAAAATTAAGTGAGTCTTTATTTTATATTTTTTTCTGAATGTCACATGATTTCAGCAAATGTGTTAAACAAACCTCTGAAAGGAATGCAGAAAGGTAGCATGCTTTTCCATGAGAGCTTCTTGTACAGTATATGAGACAGGAGAAGGAATCAGACATTAAACAAGGACCTAATCACACTTTGTGAAATAAGAAAATAAATTTTCTATTTTATGTGTAAAGACATTAGAGAAATCTTCATACTTTAGAATCAATTTTTAAAAGAGGTTAGCTAGTCCCACAATATTTCTGTCACTAACTACACCAGTATCTTGCACTGTTACAGATAATAAGGCTTGTAGTTAAATGAAATTGATGATTACTTTTCTCTTTCAGTGGCATTCAAAGTTTATCTTCCATCACCATAAAAGCTAATCAGTAAGGGGTAAAGCTTCTATCTGGGCACCAGGTCAATAATTCCATGTTTAATGACATAAGTGTGTTGTTTCTTCAGCAATAGGGCTTTACCTTCGAATTATAGAGAGTAACCAATAGCCTTGAAAACAGCCTATGATGTTTGGGGTGGGGGATGGATTTCTGGGACCCCTTTGGCCAAAGACTCAAAAAGATAGAACCCATTGAACTTGGTAATATAAATTGGGAAATTATCTCCCCCATTATATGATGACTTCATTTAAATTACTTTCATATATATATGAAAGGATTTTAGGAAGCATCTGTAGTAGATTCCTAAATGGCTTTTCATAGTAGATTTCTATATGACTTTTCACAAGATCATAACATAACCCATCCTATTTAATATTCCCATTCTAGTTACTAAAACCAATCCATAGGTTGAACAATATCCTATTCAAAATTCCAACATAATTTTTCACAGAAATTGAGAGAACAGTCTTCAAGTTCATATGGAAACACACATAAAAACAGAAAAATACCTAGGATAGTCAAAACAATTCTCAATTCTGAATAATAAGAGGAACTACTGAAGGTGTCATCATCCCAGATTTCAATTTATATTATATATTAGAGATGGTAGTGATAAAAAATAGTTTGGTATTAGTATAAAAACGGACACATTGATCAGTGAAATTTAATTTACGACGCATACATAATTTCACATGCTTATAGATACCCAATTATTTTACAGAAAAACCAAAAATACAAACTTGAGAAAGGACAGCATCTTCAATACATGGTTCTGGTCAACTTGGAAAGCTGCGTGTGGAACAATGCAAATAGACCCATATTCACATACAGGAAAGGCCACCACCATCCAAGCATAGTGGCAGCCTATATAAGGGGAGAAAACATTATCAATTACATGTCTGTGGTATTTTTTTAATAAAATCCTAGTCAAATAAATAGCCAGCAATATTTTTGAAAAAAGCAAAAGGAATTTATTTCTAGCATATGGCTTTAAAAATAATTTTAAAATATTTTTTAATTATTTAAAATAATTTAAGAAAGAACATTTTACTTATTTTGAACTTCTGGGATATGGTTTGTGTAGTATTCTTCCCTTCTGTTAGGAATATCTCCATTCAGACACCATGCTCAAATATTCTGGCATGAGTAATAATAAATAAATAAATAAATAAATAAATAAGCAAACAAACATATTTAAAAGTCAAGAATTTTTTTAAAGGGTAGTTAAAGAATACCAATAGAATGACTTCACCAAACGAATCTGTGACGATTTGAGGATCAACAAAACAATAACCAGTATGGCTTCATGGAGCAATTGGAGTCTGTCAAATATCATGAGCTCAAAATAATTGAAGGCAAACACCAATATGATAAATTTAAAAGACATTAATAATAAAAAGAAAAGGTATAACCGTTGGTCAATTTTCCATCAGTGTAGCAAAATGCCTGATATATTTACCTCAAAAGGAGCAAAGGTTTGTCTATGTTTCCTTATGGTTTCAGAGAACTCTGGAGTTTGGATGGCTAGAAGGCTTGTGTTGATGTTTTTTAGGACTGAGGTAAAGGAACAGCCCATGCTGGGAAGTATCAAGTACAGTACAGCTGCTTGACAGGCAACTCAGAAGGGAGGAGCAAAAAGGAGGGAGTGAGGGAAAGAGAATATGCGAGTATTCACTTAAAGGCACATTTCTAGTCATCTAAATGTTTACTATAGGTTCCCTAAAGTCTACTTCTGAATGGTATCATGGGATTGAGGTCAAGGCTTTGGGGGCATTTAAAATTTAAACCATAATACAAGTGTAGGGAAACTTTTAACTTCCATTGTATGGAGATTTTTAATAAATAACACATTAGTGTTTAGGTATGTTTTGTTTCGTTTTGTATTGCACATTTACTACCATAACTAACATCTGCATTGTTGTGGACAGGCAGGGAAGCAGGATCTCAAACCATTCTATAAGGAACAGAAAGGGCTTCGCAGTGTCAATGGATGGTCATATACAATATTCAAGAAGAAAGAAATTCAGCAGTCGATTAATGCTAATTAACGATTGTATCTCAAATGTAAGGGAATGCAACTGTGTGCTTCAGACATTTGATTAAAAAATAAAAAGCAACAAGAACAACAACAAAAAACCAGAAAGTACCATGACAACCACTAAGCGATGACTAAGCAGAAACAGTCCCTCAACTCCCGGAGGGTATAAATGCTGAACAATAAAGAAATAATGAGAAAACATAAATATTTAATAATGTTGATACACAGCTCTATACATCTTAATAACAGGAACATTATTGTGTTACAATAGGAAATGCAACAAAAAAAGAGTCATTTTATGTGATTGCTCTACACTATTACATAAAATTAAAAGCTAGGATAGAACATCTTTTAAAAGACATAAGGACACACACTAAGTAGAGTTCAATCATAAAATGCAACTCTTAAGCAATGGTCACAAGCAGGTCTATATTACTTTGGAATATGCAGAAAATTCAAATGACTAGATAAAAACTCATCAAAAACTTACACCTTCAAATTTAAGAGATGCTTTCTTTCACTTATTAATAGACTGGTCAGTAAGTCCTAAAAATGCAGATATAAATATTTCTCAAATATCAAGCATATTAAAACTGGGCATCTGTAAAGTGTAAGAACAAGGAAAACGATGAAAATTGAAATGAATGCCTGGTAAACCTATGAAACCTGATTCTGGGAGACATTATGGCTTGCTTTAGATGTTAGTCAGTTGTTTAAAACTGTCGAATATATTTCAACTAAAGGAGTCATTTTAGGGTTTACAGGAGACTTGATTATATATGGGATCCCAGGTCCAAGGAGAGATCCCCAGATTGTTCTCTGGACAGAGGAGAGGGTGCCTGAACCGGCCTTGGCCCATAACCACACTGATGAATATTTTGCTTATCACCATAGATCCTTCATCTGGCGAAAGATGGAGATAGAGACAGAGACCTACATTGGAGCACCGGACTGAGCCCCCCAAGGTCCAAATGAGGAGTAGAAGGAGGAAGAAAATGAAAAAGTAAATCAGGACTGCGAGGGATGCGATCACCCACTGATACAAGGGGACTGATCTAATGAGCGTTCACCAAGGCCAGTTGGACTGGGACTGAACGAGGACGTGATCCAACCAGATTCTCTGAATGTGGCCGGATTCTCTGAATGTGGCTGGCCCGGAGCCTTTCTGAAAAGCCATTGACAATGACACTGGGACTTGTTTCCTCTGCATATACTGGATTTTGGGGATCCAGTCTGTTTGGATACCTACCTTCCTGGACCTGGAGGGAGCGGGGAGGAACTTGAACTTCCCACACGGCTGGAAACCCTGACTGCTCTTAGGGATGGAGAGGGAGGAGGAGAGGGAGTGGGGGGAGTGGGAGGGTGGTGGGAGGAGGGGCGGAAATGGAAACTTTTATAATTTAATAAAATTACTTTCTAAAAAAAAAAACTGTCCCAGGATGTTGGTATCCTACACAGAAGCATTTAGGGACAGGAAGTCCCATTCATCAATTGCTGGGCATAATACCTATGCTTTCAGGGACCTTAAACTATTTAATCTGTTCAGCAAATCATTTCCTATGCCAATGAGTTCTAGCATATTTTACTTTCTCGTCAAAATGATTCGTTATCTTGTGTATGTTAAAGTGCTTATCTATTTGGAGCTGAGTCTTGTATAGAATGAGAGATGAGGTCTAATTTCATTCTCTTACATTTATCTATCAAGTTTGACAAGGACCATTTGTTCAAGACATTGTCTTTTCTTCAATGTGTTTTGTTGGCTCCTTTTCAAAACTTAAGTGGCTGTAGAATATGAGTTTATGTGTGGATCCTCAATTCTATTCTGCTGACCAATGTGTCTGTTCTTAGGCCATCATCATAATGGTTTTATAACTGTGACTCTGTAGTACAAATTGAAATTTGGGATTATGATACCACCATATCATTTTATTCTTCAGCATGATTATTTTATTGTTATTTTATTGTTCAGCATGATTTTAGAGAACCTGGGTCATTTGTCTTTCTAAATAAATTTGATGTGTTTTTTAAGTTCTGTGAAGAAATATGTTAGAATTATGATGGAGATGGCATTGAAGCTGTAGATTACTTCTGTTTGAATGGCCATTTTGTCAATATCAACCCTACCAATTCAAGACATGAGGGCCCATTCCATCTCTGGTGTCTTTTATACTTTCTTTCTTCATTATCTTAATCTTTAGACTGTAAAACACTTTCATCTCATCAGGTTTATTCTGAGTTATTTTTAGGCTGAAATATATGGGATCCGTTCCTTCTCGGTGTATAGG